CAGCAGCAGCAGCAGCAACTAGTCCTGCTGCTGCTTCTTCCCGTTCGACTTTTTCCCCGGCTGCTGCTGCTGCTGCCCGCAGGTCGGTAGGTGCTCCTGCTGCAGCAGCAGCTGCTGCTGCTGCCCCTCTCCCCCCGTCGTCCCCCAACGTTCCTATTGTTGGCCGCGGCGACAGCAGCGGCAGCAGCAGCAGCAGAAGCAGCAACACGAGCAGCAACGGCAGCAGCAACAGCAGCAGCAACCCAGGGGATTCGGTTCGGCGGAGGGATACCGCCACCGCATCCGCTGCTGCTGCAGCAGGTTCTTCTTCTTCTGCTGCTGCTGCAGCAGCAGGTTCTGCTGCTGCTCCTGGTCAAAGACTATCGCAGGCTCGAATGTCTCCTTCAGTGGATTACCGCTGCGGCTCAGTGCAGCAGCAGCAGCAGCAGCAGCGACAGCAGCAGCAGCAGCAGCACCTAGTCACATCGAGGGCTGCAGCAGCAGCAGCAGCAGCAAGCTGCGACAGGAGGAGCCGTTATACTCCTGATGCTGCGGAGGACAAGTTGAGGGACGCTGCTGCTGCTGCTGCTGCTGCAGGGAGCCCTGTAGCACAATCTGCTCTGCAGCAGCAGCAGCAACAGCAGCAGCAGATGCAGCCGCGGCGCCGTTTCTTAAGGGATGACCGTAGCTGGCTGCAGCAGCGGGGGACTGTCTCCACCGCTTCTGCTGCAGCAGCTGCACCAGCAGCAGCAACAACACGAAGAACAGCAACAGCAGCAGCAGCAGCAGCAGAACCAGCATCTGGCAAAACGGCTGAGGATGCATGCGGCTCTGCTGCAGGTGAAGGTGAGCAGCACGCTGCTGATAGACCGCCAGCAGCAGCAGCAGCAGCACCAACAGCAGCAACAGCAGCAGCAAAGACCAGAGGAACACTGTCATCTGTTGCTGCTGCTGCTGCTGCAACAACAGAAGCTACAAGAACAACAACAGCAGCAGCAGCAGCAGCAACGAAGAGCAGCAGCAATTCATTGGGTGAGACTCGTAAGATGAAGCAAGAAATTGTTGCTCCTTTTGCTGCTGCTGCTGCTGCTACTCCTAAGCAGCTGCTGCTCCCCAAGATAACCATCTCCCTCCCTGGTGCAGCAGCAGCAGCAGCAGCAGCAGCAACGACACCGACAGCAGCAGCAGCAACAGCAGCAGCACCTGCAGTTCGTATAGAGGGAATACGCGAGCCTGACGGTGAGGCAAACCTGCAGGTGTTGCTTATTCTGCTGCTGCTGTTGCTGCTGCTGTTCCTGCTGCTGCTGCTGCTGCTCTTGTGTTATATATTGTGCATGTTTATGTCTGTTGCTGCTGTTCTGCTGCAGAGGGATCCGTGGGATCGTCGGATCGTGTCTTCAGCAGCAGCTGCTGCAGCAGCAGCAGCGGCTGCAGCAGCAACCGCAGCAGCAGAACCTATCAAAGCGGAGAAGACAGCAGCAGGAGTATTCTTTTCTATGAGGAGAGCCCTCGCTCTCCTTCAAGTCATGGGCTACAGCAGCAGCAGCAGCAACAGCAGCAGCCGCAGCAACAGCAGCAACAGCAGCAGCAGCAGCAGCAGCGAGCAGCACCCCACCGCTGCGGCCTGCTGCGTATCCCTGAGGCCCGATTGATGAGGACAGGATTAGCAGCAATATTGCCGCTGCTTGCCCCACACTTAGTACGTGCTGCAGATACACCTGAATCTGCTGCTGCTGCTGCTGCCGCTGCTGCTGCTCCTGAAGGGAGAGAGCAGCTGCAGCAGCTGATGCAGCAGCAGCTGCTCGACCTTCATCCTGCAATTCGCAATAGACAACTCATAAGGGCCATACTTGATGGTAAGCCACAGCAGCAGCAGCAGCAGCAACAGCAGCAACAGCAGCAGCTACAGGAGCAGCAGCAGCAGCAGCTACGAGCATTAGACTACTTTCCCTCCATCTGTTAATCAGCAGTGTATTACTTTGCATATATGTATTCATTATCCTTTTTTCTGCTGCTGCTGCTCTGTTTGCTGCTGCTGTTGCTGCTGCTGCTGCTGCTGCTGCAGGTCAAGTATCGTTACTATCCTTAGTACCTGTAGATGCGTCGCATCTAGAGCGTGATCTGCCGCTGCTGCAGCCGCTGCAGCAGCTGCTGCTGCGGCTGCTGAATGGTTATGTCTTTGATTGCTGCAGCGAATGCCATACAGCGCATGCAGCGTGTCTTCGTTCCCTTGATAGATCTCTTGCTCAATTATTAGGGGAATGGATACTTAGATGTGCTGCTGCTACAGCTAAACAGCAGCAGCAGCAGCAGCAGCAGCAGCAGAGACAGCAACAGGAGGGAATGCTGCAGCAGCAGAGAATGCTGCAGCAGCAGCCTGCTGGTGCTGCTCGGGGGACTCATCGTCTTTCTGCTAGCAATGGGTCTGCCCAAGGAACAGCAGACATTTCTGCTGCTGCTGCTGCAGCAACAGCAGAGGCAGCAGCCGCTGCTGCAGTGGCAGAACACTCAAAAGAAGAAGCTGCTGTTTCTGCTGCTTCTGCTGCTGCTGCTGCTGCTGCTGTACGGGAGGACTTCAAGAGACACTGGGGCAGCTACCAGAACGAGCGTCGCAGGGGCAGCTGCAGCAGCAGCAGCAGCACCATTATCGCCAGCAGCAGCAGCACCATTACCGCCAACAGTAGCAGCAGCAGCAGCAGCAACTGCAGCAACAGCAGACGAGGCTGCAGGAAGCTGCAGCTGGAGGCTGCGCATGTTAGTCCTGTAGATTGCGGTGTATTGTCTCCTGCAGCAGGAGACTTATTGCTGCCTGACAGCAGCACAGGTAATGTGGAGGCAGCAGCAACAGCAACACCTGCTGCTGCTGCTGCTGCTGCAGCAGCAGCAGTGCAGCAGGGGGACGCTGGGGAGGGAGACGTAGGAGAAGAGATAACTGCTGCTCCTTACATTGTGCGGCAGTTTGATTCCTTGAAGTCTCCCTTCCGTACACCTGCTGCTGCTGCACGTACACCTGCTGCTGCTGCTGCTGCTGCTGCTGCTGCTGCTGCTGAGCCACCTCCAAGTACACCTCAGAGCCCCACATCTCCCTGCAGCAAAAGGGCAAAAGTTAAGACGGATATGGGCAGCGACAGCGCAGGAGAAGAGGAATTTGCTGAGGAATTTGCTGAGGGACAAGAAGCAGCAGCAGCAGCAGCAGCAGCAGATGGAGCAGCAGCACGGACTGGGAGGCCTGCAGCAGCAAGGCCGATACGCCAGCAGGTTCAGCTGTACGCGCAGCAGATGCAGCAGCAAGAGCAGCAGCGGCGGCAGCAGCATGGAGTAGTAGATCCCCTGCGGAAGGAGCAGCAGCAGGGCATACAGCAGCAGCAACGGGATGAGTCAAGCAGCAGCAGCGGCAGCAGCGGCAGCAGCAGCAACCGATTCCCTAGTCTATACAGTTTGCCCTCCTCAGCAGACTGCGCAACAGCAGTGCAGCAGCGGGAGTTAGGGAGACAGTTTGTGCTGCAGATGGGGGCATTAGTCTTGGCTGTCAGCAGCAGCAGCAGCGGCAGCACCAGCAGCAGGAGCACCAGCAGCAGGAGCACCAGCAGCAGCAGCAGCAGCAAGGAGCCGCTGCTGCTGCCTCAGCTAGAGCCCCTTAGGATAGTAGCAGAAAAACTATGCCTCTATGATTTCTCCTGCTCAACTACAGCGTCGCAGCAGCAGCAGCAGCAGCAGCAAGCTGCTGCTGCAGGAACAGCAGCAGCAACAACTGATGGCAGCAGCAGCAGCAACACGAGCAACAGTCGCAGCAGCAATGCAGATATGCAACACGATAGGCGGAGCTGTCCAGCAGTTGCATGCAACAACAGCAGCAGCAAGCCTTCCCTGCAGCAGCAGCAGCAGCAGCAACTGCCGATGCAGAGGGGAAGACTTACCAGACGCAGCTCTGCAGCAGCCGACGGACCAAAGACATCAGCAGCAGCAGCAGCAACAGCAGCAGCGCCAACAGCGCCAGCAGCAGCAGCAGATGAGGATATTTGGATACGGCTGCTTTGCCGCTGCCCCGTGTCTCCTATGCAGCTGTCTTATAGTCGTTCTGCAAGAAGAGCTGCTGCTGCACCACCGCAGCAGCAGCAGCAAAAGCAGCAGCAGCAGCAGCAGCAGCGAGGTTTAGCAGCAGCTGCTGCGCTAACGATCCCCGAAGGTTCAGGCAAAAGACAGAGATCTTGCACCGCAAGCAGCAGGTATAGCAGCAACAACAACAGCAGCAGCAGCAACAGCAACAGCAGCAGCAGCAGCAGCAGCAGCATTGGCTTCACTACTACCACTAGGCGTCGTTCCTTTGGAGACCACAGCGTTGCTGCTATATCTATAAGAAATGCTTCTGCTGCTGCTGCTGCTGCAGCAGCAAACGAGAGCGGCAGCAGAGACCATTGGTGCGAATGCTTCCTTAATGTATCAATTAATTGTACAGCAGCAGAAGCAGCAGCAGCCGCTGCTGCTGCTATTGCTGCTGCCGATAGTGCTGCTGCTGCACCCAGACAGCAGTGTGTGGGAGAGAAAGAGGGACATGCAGCAGCAGATGATTCTGCTGCTGCTGCAGCAGATGCAGCAGCAGGAAGTACAGTAACATCTGCTGCTGCAACTGGAGGGAAGAGTGTAGCTGCTGCAGTAGCGGCAGCAGTTGCTGCTGTTGCATACACCAACACCAACAGCAACAGCAGCAGCAGAAGCAACAGCAGCAGCAGCAGCAACAGCAGCAGCAGCAGCAGGTATACGTATACACTGCGGGTATCTAATGAGCGTCCTGATACAGATCGTCTATATTGGGTAATACCTTCAATAGATATGCGACAGAGCAGCAGCAGCCGCAGCAGCAGCAACAGCAGCAGCAGCAGCAGCTGGAAGCTGCTGCTGCTGCATAAAAGTGTTTCTCTTGAGGACTCAATTGAAGAATTAATGAGAAAACAAAACTTTATTAAAGAATTAAAACATAAAATACATAATAATACACGCATGCAATAAATGCATGCATGCATGCATGCATGCATGCATGCATGCATCAGGTGCATGTATTCATGCAGTTGCAGGTGCATGCATGCATTAGTTGCATGCATGCTGTTGCATGCATGCATGCATCTAGTTGCATGCATATCAGTTGCATGCATGAATGAATGAATGAATGAATGAATGAATGAATGAATGAATGAATGAAGTTGCATGCATGCATGCATTAGTTGCATGCATGCATAAATGCATGCAGTTGCATGCGGTGTACTTACAGCTAACAATACAAACACTATTCTTGTTTGCTTGCATGCATGCACATTATATAATTGCTGCACATAAGGCAGCAAACCTTCTGCATCTGCTGCTGCTTCTGCTGCTGCTGCAGCAGCAACAGCAGCAGCAGCAGCAGCAGTCCGACACGATGATGGCAGCTATATTGCTGCAGTTGGCTTATAAGGCATAAATTATATAAGTATAATTAAATATTATATATATATATATATATATATATATAT